GACGCTTTTAATACTGGTCCTAAAAGGGCATCTCGTTCTTTACTTAATTTTCGATATCTTTGTTGTTGTTTTATTTGCGATATAAAGCAGACGTATCGACAAATTAAAGTAAATAAGGAATTTTGGAACTATAAAAGGGGGTCCTCTGGAGATCGGACTTTTAAACCTCTCCAAGAGTTGTTACTACGTATCGTTACTTACAGTACTTCTTTGTTTTATTTCGCTTAAAAACTCTGCAAGAGTAACGTCTTGTGTACGCAGCCTGATTCCCACCTCATTCGGAACGACGAACACGGTTTGCGAATCACGGCCTCGCGTTTGGCTTCGCTTAAAAACTCTACAAGAGTAACGCTTAGTTTTATTGCTCGATGGTTTTCGCTAGGCAGTGGGCCAGCAGCCATCTCGACGGACCTACGTCAGAATCACGCTTCGAGTGAATTTCTTTGATCTACTCACCTTGCGCAGTGGGAACTTGCTTAGCTTTTAAAGCACGATACGATGGTTTTCCGCTAGGCAGTGGGCCAGCAGCCATTTTGACGGACTTACGTCAGAAATAATACTCACCTTCTGCAGTGAGCACTTGCTTAGCTTTTAAAGCTCGATGGTTTTTCGCTACACAAAGCAACATTGTGTCAGCAATCATCTTTATTTTTCGCTAGACAAAGCAACATCGTGTCAGCAATCATTTTTATTTTTCGCTAGACAAAGCAACATTGTGTCAGCAACCATCTTTATTTATTTGCTCGATGGTTTTTCGCTAGACAAGGCAACATTGTGTCAGCAACCATCTTTATTTATTTGTAAGGCTTTGACCTAGACATTTTGACATGTTGTTCGTGAACACAGAGGAACTTTTCATTTTTACGGTACTGGGCCTAAAATGTAATCCTACGACTGACTTCTTTTCTCATGCTTCTCGTCCCTTTGACAAACCCTGTACAAAGCGGGCTATTCGTTCATAAATCAGTCGTATTTTGTTGCTATCCTCTTGTTTTTATTCCTTTTCCATGTCTTTTTGCTAGTCAAACGTCTTCTACAACCGTTGTGGTAGTTTGATGTAGTCTGGGATGATGGGACATCTGAACAGATACATCTGACCTCTGTATTTGTATGTGTTACATTTCTGGTGTTATTTCTATTCACGAAAATCTATCGCAGGATCGGAGCTCTTGGCAGCTATACGTCTGACTGATCTAGTCACATTTGTCAACGAGTCTAGTCCAATTTTCATGCTCGCTCTGTCTCGACAAGATTGGAACTCTTGGCAGCCATAGTGCTGGCTGATCAAGTCACTTTTGTCATAGGGTTTTCCTTCCGATTCTCCGATATTTGATCTGAATCTACGATTGCGCTCCCTTGAGCTAATTTTTCTACCCATAAATTGTCAATCGTATTAAACACATACAAGAACTGATACCACACTCTACTCGGCATTATATGCCTTCTAATCAACACCGCTCTGATTGTGGTAGTCGTGTTTTATCACTGGCACAATTATTACAATCTTCACCAAACTGGCATTTTCCTACCGTGGATCTCGTTGAACTATCATTACTTCCCGGCTGTCATTGCAGACTTGAAATGCGACACCACGCCGAGATTTCGACGCTGTTCTTCTTCTTGTTTTTTGCGCACTTCACGTAATTCTTATAGGAAAAGGGGCCAACGGTATTGTGTTTGACACAGTCCTTCTAGTTTAGCCGATCGAAAAATGCTACCGATTCGACGCTATTCTTTTTTAATTGATGACATTGAACGCGTTGTTAATCTTAGCACAGTTTCAGATTGCATCTAACAATGTTCTGTGGTCAAAATATGACCGTCGCTTATTTGTTAATTCATATTTTATCCTTACTTAGTTCTTAACTTGTATATCGATCTTTTCAGGTCTATTCTTTATACTTATACTTTTAGCTGTTCTTAAAAACATTCGTTTTTGGAGCGGGAGAATGTTTGGTAAAGTATGTGCGAATTCATTTCATAATTTTACAGTTAATATTTTTTCTGTTACTGTACTGTAATGTGATCTAATTTAGTGCTGTATTTTAAAGACCTTTTTGAAATATATTGTTTCCTGTTGTCTTATAAAACTTAAACTGGATATGTCAGAGTGCGGGCAAAATGGCATACACATAAACAATAGTGTTAAATACAAAAATAATTATAAATTTTTGTTTTTACGAAGAAAAAAAAAATTGAAATGAAACATTTTAGTTCATACAAAGTTCGCAAATAAATTGTTTTGCTTTTTTGGGAAGTCCAGCACATTCTGAATGTGGCCAGTTTTGGCAAATTTGGCATCTTTACCATCCTTCATTAGATTTGAACCTACTAAACGTATCATTGCAGTAAATGCAAGCGCAGTCCTTTTATTCATCAACATCAATACTAAAGGGTTCTTCTTCATCACTTGATATATTGTTCAGTATTGATCTGGTCACAATATTTCTCTTGCCTTTTCTCTCCGACTGATGTCTATGTTTGTTCACAATGCGTCTTCCATTACTTAAATCATTGACTATTTTTCTTTTCACGCCGTCCCCTTTTCTGCTTTTTATTTCTTGTGCTTTTTTTTTCATTTTCTTTTTCGCGGAGATATTTCAGGAAGGGGCTCTCGGTTAATACATCTTGGTATTGACCAGATTTACGTTTGGTAGATTTTCTTACATTACTCTGAGGTACCGGTGCCAATTTCATCAGGATTCCTTCAATAGATTCATCTTTAGAACCAGATGCCGATGGTTCTTGGACATCATGATGATCGTGAGTTGCAGCGTGAGAAACATTAACATCAGCAGGTAAAGATGTAGAAGCAATATCAGGTTTATTAGTAGAACCAGGCACATCTGTAGTTGCACTAGGCAAAAATGCATGCTCTGGAAAAATGTCACGATTTATAGGTGATATTCCTGTGGCCCGAAAACCATTTATTGCGATCTCAATATTTGTTGTCTTCTCATATGCTTTCTGAAAGAGACTGGACACTTGATATATGGTTATTTCACGACCAGGATTTTCTCTGAGCCAATGAGTAACAGCTTAATTATAATATTTATGGAGTGGTCCGAAAAAGGCAACATCCAATGGCTGAAGGCGGTGCGTGCAGTGTGCCGGCAGGCAAAGTAATACCACTGAATTCTGTTTAGCTAATTCTAAAGCTTCGTAGCTTTTATGGCTAGAGTTTCCGTCTAAAATTAATAATGCTTTCTGCGCAGGATTTGGCCTGACATGGTCAATGAAATGTTGCATCCACGTTATGAACAAATCTCTGGTCATGTATCCTGATTCATTATGCAATTTTAATATTCCTACAGGTGCGCCGTCATATAAAAGTGGGTTAAATCTTTTTCGGGGGGAAATTATTGATGGTGGCACGTAAGTTTCTCCAGAACTCATGCACACTACAACTGTTGTGTGTACACCCCTTTCTGCGCTCGTGATAGAGCCCACTTGTTTTTTTTTCCTTTCTGAACAAAGACTTTTGGCGGAACTTGGACGGTGGTCAAGGCTGATTCGTCCATGTTGAATATCATGGTATTTTGAATTTTGTGTTCTTCAACAACTTCTTCTAACTTATCAAAAAATTTATTTACCTGAGGCTTATTGAATGCCTCGGCCCGTGCAAGAGACGTAGCTTCTGGAAGACGTAATGATAATTGCGGATTTCGTTGGCAAAACCATACAACCATCCTTTGCCAGCCATCTTGGTCACTTTATTGAACGGATTATTAATCTTAATTTTCTCTGCAATGTTATAGGCTAGCTTGCATAAGTCTGCTCTTGTCACGCCAAAAAACCGGGATTCAAGATACAGAATGTGGGCAACTATTGCAGTCTTCATATCTTCGTTTAAAACTGTTGCCAGGGAGCCCAAATGTTTTTTTGCTTCAATGGCAATTTTATTTTTATTACCTGCTCGACGTCGTAGTGTTGAAAACGGTACATGAAATGTATTGCTTGCTTTAAGCCAACCCATTTCGGAATTTCGGACTGCCTCCAAAGCTCTTTGCATGTCTTCCTCACTCCAACTATTTCTTTTAGACTTCCTTTTATATGAATAAACCATCTGCAAAAAAAAACTGAATATGTACCTGAAAAACAGACGGGCAAAATGGCATAGTATGTTATTTTGCCCGCCATAATGCTATTCCATTTTGCCCGTTTTATATTTGCCGACTACTGATAGTTGAAAAAAATTAATAATGGAAATAAACACAATTTTTATTTAAGATCACATGCAGCGTATAAAACATAATTACCAAAAAGTGAATTCAAAAAGCTCTATAACCTTAATTTAATAAATTATTGAATAAACTTACATTAACGCATCGAACTCGACCAGCACTTATTCACAAATACACCAATCTCGTGGCCGGCCGTTAAATTGGTGCACGAGACTTAATGTGGACAATGTTGCTACTGTTTATAATAAGTATCCAGAATTGCGCTGACGTAGAACCGTTAGCTTGACTACGAGAACAGAAAACCATTTTGCCCGTCTATGCCATTTTACCTGCCCTTCCCCTATATCTTTTCTGGCTTGTATTATTCTGGGGTTAATTTATCTTGTTCTCAGATATTTGTATTTATCAATATTGTCTCTTTTTCCTTGTTATATAGAAAAACATGTGTCCGTCTCAATACTGAGATATTAATTTTTTTATATCTGTTCTATTTTGTTTTGAGTTATTGTAAAACCCTTTGAATGGAAGTTTTTTACCACGGATCTCAAATGAGTGTTTTTCTATTTTTTTTTTGGACAATCAGATCAGTCATTTACTCTGGCGTACTGACAAAAACAAACTGCTTAAAAAACATTCGCGAATCATATATTTGCATATTCGCATATATTCGCGAATATTTGGTCATTTAGTTAACTAACAATTATTTTCTATTAACATACCTATGTATATCTATTTATTTTATAACTCTATTCACTATATAACCATTAGAAACTTTAATAATATATACTTTAATACACAATTATATTTATTTTTTAGTTTTAACTGTACTCTTCCTCTACAATTAGAGAATGGAAGGTGGCTAGTAACTGAAGCAGATGTTCAATCTAGTGGTCAAATAGAGGTTAAAACAATATTAAGATTAGAGTGTCACGATGGTTATCAGTTAAACCCTAATATTTCTCTACATTTTTGTGATAGCAACTGGAATGAAACAGCTTTTCCAACGTGTAAAAGTAAGTTTTTATTAAGTATTTCACACTCTATTGAGACTGAGCAACGACAAATCAATTAACATAAAAAATCACGAAAAAGTAATTTAGTTCTTTATTAACCGGATAATATAGATATTTTCGTATTACGAAAAGTCTCAGTAAAACGAAAGTTTAATCTAAATGACAATACAAATAATATGTTCAATAAAAATAAAAGACAAATCCTAGTAAATAAAATCGACGGAGCTGCGGTCCGATGTTGATACTGTAGCATTTTCAATTTCATTGATTTTTTGAGTATATTGAAACCTCCTTGTATAATAAAATATATTAAAAAATCCTTATATATTTAAAAAATAAAACGAGGAATTCTCCCGTGTTTGTTAGTTCGTATCTTTCAAAGTACCCAAAAGTGTTTCGTCGCCGAGTAATAAAATCATTTGAGAGTTGTTTATTTTACTTCGGCAATTTCTTTTCAATTTAATGCATCGCAAAAGGATATGTACGTCGTTTCGTGGTGTCTTGTTATGTCAGCGTTTGTATGTATGCGTTCAATTTGAATAGATTTTCTTCACTATCGTTGGAGCGGCTATCAAGAACGGTTCAGCGTTATGTCCAAATTCATGTCGAGTTTGTAAAATTTTCTGTTTTTTTTTCGTTGATTGTGGTGGAAATGGGTAGCAGTAGCGATGGATTTTGTCCAGTATAAAGTGACCGGCATTAATTTGCCGGGAGTAGTGAAGTTTTCGCTCGATATTTCGAGATTTTTGAAAAGTCTGGTTGCTGTATGAGGGTTCATGTTTTTTTTGAGAGTTCCCGTTTTCCCTGGTGTGTTCCGGCCCCAATGGATGTCCCGTTCCTGTTTCGGCCCCAAATTAATGTGTTTGCTACTGATCTCCAGATGGATGCTACAGAGAAATAACAAGTTCTTTTTGTGAAGTGGAAATATGTAAATCAAGGTAACTGTTTTTTTTTGTGTTAAAATTTTAAACTAAAGACAGATAATTTTTTTTATGAAATAATAATTGCTTTTGTTACATTTAAAATTGTAAATTTTAGATTTTGAGTTAAGCTGTCAATTTGTGTGTTTAGTTTTTTTTTTGAAATTTAATGTTAACTTATGACAACTCGTTTTTTATTATTTCTTTGGTTATTAGTTTGTTTTATTTTTAAACAAGGTTAACCTCCATATAAATTTGTAGTTTTATGTAGTATCTCCAACTCCTGGAGTTTGTAAGCGGATGACACGTAAGTTTTGTATTTTGTATTTCACCATTTTGTAACTGTTTGTGGTGACACATAAATACAGGTTAAATTTTGTTGTCTTAACATTTTATTTATTATTTTTTTGAGCTAAACCTTTTTTTTATTCTTATTTGAAAAAGATATGTTTTTTATGTTTTGATTTGTTTTCTAATTATTTTCCTAGTTACAACCAGTGGTTGTAATAGGTATAATTAGGCACCTCAAGTGGCGCCCTATATTAAATTCCTTGAGGTGTTTCTTGCTTATTTTTATTTTGTTTATCCCAAGAGCCCTTTATTTCATTTTTTTGTAGTTGCCCATTCCAATGCCCTTATCTTTTACTTATCCACGACCCCAGCTCTCCTACGAAACCCTGAGTGCCGTTCGCATAAGTAGCGTTTATTTTGCTTGCCTTATCCCCACCCCCAATAGTTTCTCCCCCCAATTTTCTACCCTTTGTATATTAATACCCCATGTGGTAGGCAAAATATTTACGTTACAATACATAAAAACAATAAGTACTAGCGGTACTCTGATGGATCAAGCAAAGGACGACATTTAGTCAATTCCCAAAAACCGGTGAACGACAAGTTACTACTTAGTCTAGGATAGAGATGGCCAGTTGGTTCTGATCACTACTCAAAGACCCGAGGTAGGAGTTCGTACCTGATCAATACTCCAGACCGAACTTGGTTCTCTTTTATCTTTGGTTTTCTTGACGCGCATCAATGGCAGTTGTTACGTTGTCGGTGAAAGTGCGGACATACAGGTTGTTGGCAAAGTGGCGGCAAATGTTGGCGGTGCCATCGTTACAATATGTGGAGTGGTAGAATTTGCGTTTTGCAAAAAGTGGAAAATCCTTTACTCATTTTAATAAATGTTCAACTTTAAAGCTAAAAATACAAACTCTTTGATGAATTTGCATATGTTCAATCAAACGACGAATCTGGACAACGGTCAAAACTTTTACTCATTTTGTTATGTGGACATTAGAGAATACTCAAGTCGCGGAGTGAGTATTTTATTCGGAAATTGCTCACAGCGAAATTTCCAGGACGCCATTTTGTGCTTAATTTCGTTAAGATATAGCTCATACAACTTTTTCTTTTAATATTGTTTTTTTTTGTATTGGTTGGCTGTCATCTGGTCTGTAGTCTGCAAATAATTCTAGATATTCTAAATATATCTAATAAATGTTAATAGGGTCTCTTAACATTTCGGTATTTTTGTCTTTAATTACAAAAATAAGAGGAACTATTCGTAAAATTCGCAAATAGGTTATCATGAATTTTAAAAAATGGACAGCTTTATTTTTGTTTTTAGTCTTATACATAATTTTAAAAATTAAAAGCTGCGCTATGTTTCTACATAATCGCCGCTTCTGCTCAAACACTTTTGCTGACGACACTTCAAGTTTTTATCCTCATGTTATAGAATCTAACGCCAATCCTTTAAATAATCAAGAAACCTATTCCTTGACTACATCATCGGTATTGTGATCATCATTTGGTGCTAGGTCCGGACAATTCTCTGTGGATTGGGGGGTGGGGAACAACAGTCCAGCCAAAATCTTTAGCAGTTGTTCAGTTTTATGTGAGACATGAGGTCGAGCGTTGTCATGGAGAAACCTTACACTACTGGATAATAGTCCTCGCCGGCTATTCTGGATTGCACGTCTTGTAGCAAATTGTAGTTTTTAGAAGTGAGGATGTTCCATTTGGACTGAACTTTATCATCACATACTTCATTATGGTAAATTTTTCATTAATAGAAACTAGAATTTTAAAAAAAAACGAGCCTAAGCTGTCTCTCAGTCTTTTATAATGGATCAATCCATTAACATCTCGAAGTTGGAAGGTTTCTGTCTTGATGTTACAATGTTTTCTGTTTTTTTAATACTAGAGCGCACTATCCCAAAGTTCCTGTCGCACTATAATTTGCCAACTACATTTTGTATCACTTATAGGGGGTTGAAATTGTGGACTGAACAATTGAGGACATTTCGGACAAAGGGCACATAGCCAAAATGGTAGTTTTGAGTAAAACCAAATTTAAAATTAAGTTTTATTTAACTTAATCACGTTTATGAAGTTGTTTGTGTGATAATATTTTACATAATTTATATAACCTTAGCTACAGTTTTTAAACTTCTTTAGTAGTATGTAATATATTTATGAATACAGTTAAATGTCTAAATATGAGTGCTATGTGCCCTTCTTCCGGAAATGGACTTTTTTTGGTGCAAATTATTCTAACTCTCATTTAGTTTGTGTGATTTAAGGTTATTTTCTACAAACGGTACTCTGATATCATAGGTAGAACAAATAAATATATTAACATCTTTTAGAATTACACCGCTATTCCTTTATTCATCATAACAAAGTACTATAAATCAACATCGGGCTATATTAGAAAACTTTTTTATACAATTCAGATAGAAAATAACATTATAAATGTTCCAATATGTATACTATACTAAGGTCTATTAAAAAATAATGCACTGATTTGAAATCTGAAAGGAAACGTTATTAAAGTAGCCTCATTTTCTTGTTACTTGTTTCTTGTTAAGCATACACTCAAGCGATTCAGCGCTATCTATGTCCAAATGTTTATACAAACTTCCCACATCCTTAATCTTTGCCTCACTGACTTCTGGAAAAGGAACTGTCAAAGGTTGAACTTCTTCTAATTTTTCAACGCTCACTCTGTTCATATACTGGAAGGGAGTGAATGTTGGATGGTAGTTTTTAGAAGTGAGGATTGTTCCATTTGGATCAAACTTTATCATCACATACTTTATTATGGTAAATTTTTAATTAATATAAACTGGATTTTTTAAAAAACGAGCCTAAGCTGTCTCTCAGTCTTTTATAATGGATCGGTCCATTAACATCTCGAAGTTGGAAGGGTTCTATCTTGATGTTACAATGGCTTCTAGCCAAGGTTTTGCAGTTCCAATATTTTCTGTATTCTAAGAATATTAAAAGCATATAGCCACAACATTCATTTGTAAAACTGACTCTTTACGTTGAGTTTGAGGATAGGATAGTTTTGACCGTAGTCAAAGTCTAAGACTACCAGAGTAGGATCTGTCTTTGACTGTTCAATGCAATGTTTTTTCCAGTACTGCCGCCTCTTTATTGTTCTTTTGTGTAGTTCGAACTGGGCTCTAAACTCGTCTAAGGGGTTTCGCTTCATTTTCTCCACACTTTCGGAACAGAAATCACAAACATCTGTCTTAGGGGCTATAAAACCCATAGTTGAAATGAGATTTAAAAGTTTTAAAATAATGCACATAGGACATTTTAAGTTTCCGCCCGGTCTTGTCTTGATAATATTCTTGAAAACTTCTGTAAAGGTCTTTCACGCCGAAATTCTGGGTTTTCAAAATACAAAATGGATGTTTTCTCTGCACAATAATGGCTTTTGTCATGTAGAATAAATAATAAATGAGATCCCATAAAGTCAATGACATCCTGTAAAACCATTGATATTAATCACATAAGACCACACATTGACACGAGGTTTCTTTTGGTGTGTCTTGACATTTGTGTTGTCATATCGTAAAGTTGTAACTGACAGTCTGTATTGATATTACTACAGCAACTGTCCAAGCAACAGCTACTTACAATACAACACTCCTTTTGCATAACCTCAATCTGAGAACGATTGATGTATGATTCTCCGTTACACTTTCTCTTCTTAGAACACTCACGTTTCACACTTTCGTGTAAATAAATTTTACGTTTCTTTTTAATAATATCAACACCTTCCAT